AAGAATGTTAATGAGGAAATTAATTTTCCAAACCCAGATTAAAGATTTATTTCCTCATTTGATCAATATTATATGTGATATTTTTAATTAAAACTTTTGAGGGAATGTACGTATATGCGATGATCCAAAAGTAACAGTAAAAGTAAAAATGCAGTACTTCGAAGGTATGAACGATGCTGTTTTCGAAGAAATGCACAAAAGGACATGGAATGCTTTAAAAATTTTATTGTCAGAGTAGTTACATTTTACTTGGAGTGACAGATGTACCGAGATCGGCCCAACCAATAACCACATTAAAATATTTAGCTTACATATATATATTTTATTTAATGAAATTCAATTTTTACATGACTTCTATAAGTCGATACTATTTATAGAGTAAAAAAGGTTTAAATCAAATAGTTATGATAATTTTTTTCACCCCCGTTTTGCATATTACGAAGAAATTTTTGCTTTTCCCTCTGAGATCTTTCACAGGGTAAGGAAACAGTTATTTGCTGAGCTATAAAAATTTTAATTTAATACATATGTACTGATTGATTTATGTCAAGTAACCAAAATTGTGGGATCGGATAAAATAATTCGGCGATTTGAAATTTTCCATTCTCAGAAAAATTGCGGAATTTCGAGTATAATTACAGAACGAACAAGCACAGTATCTTTTCTGACATTTTTTTCGTCTGTTTATCTTGTATGCCTTTACTTTTATGTTGTATGCCTTTACATTAGTGATTGAGATAGCAATATTATCTGTCATCTTCAGTTTGAGCTGAACTATCGTTTATCAGGTTATTCAAGTTAATCGATTACTTACCTGAACGTACAACTGTCAAATCTGAAACTTTTTTTTATTTTAATTCTTTCTTAAACTGGGACGAACGGTCCACGGCCTGCCTTGGATACTTAGTTATTTCGTATTTTAAAATACTTCTGTAAGTTGGTATAGTAAGTTGGTTGGTAAGTTGGTCTGTAAGTGTGTATGGGAGATACACGGCATTTTTAAACTGTATGCTTCCAATTAAATTTGACTGTCAGATTTCGCCATTCAGTCTGTAATAGTAATGGTCGGCAAATAAATCCTATATATCCTTAAACACATATTCCTATCAATCAAATAGCTTTAATGCTGCCCAACCCGGATAATGGTTAGCGATGCTGACTGCCGTAATGAACGGCCTGGTTCGAATCCCGGAGAAAGCATGGATGTTTGTAAATGTATAGTGTCCATGTGGCATGGGGGCACTTTGAACATACGGCGAGCCGAAAGTCATTTCGAGAGTTGTTGGTAGGAAAAGAAGAGTAGACCCTTAAATTCGTCCGCCCCCTCGTAGTGCTGTCCATCAAAATTGGAGGGCGGAACTGAGCAAAGTCGTACTGTCACCTGTACGTTGCTCAAGGCTCTTGCCAACGACAGGAGCAGCCCTTCACTTCTTGCCATGATGAATTTTGTGGGCTTGTTCTGATGTTACTGTCAGACAAATGAGATTAGTCACAACAATAATAACAAATAGTTTTAAATGATCAGAATGATATTAAATATTTTGAAATTCTTCAGTTGGTGATTATAATCAGCCACGCTATTAAACTACAAAGGAAGGCGACTTATTTTCAATACTCCACTCAGAAGTGGTCCTAGTGTATAAGATGGCTAATCACTAGTCGTTTGGTTCGATTTCGAATTATCCGGGTGAATGAATCAGCTTCATGGGTGTTTTTTTAGTTTTCCCTATGTGCAACTTGAAATTTGAGCTAGTTTCATTTAATAATTCCATCCCTTTTCTTAGGAAGATTGACCTCGTACTCTTTGCCATAAGAGACTAACATAAATTAAAATAAATTTAGAACTTACTTTCGTCTTTCGGCTTTTAACTGGGCAGCTTTCATCGTTGAGTATTTTGTGAACCCATTGGCCAAATTGATAAAAGCTAAAAAATAATGTATCTGTAGTAAGTATCTTTTCCGGTGTGGTTGAGTGGGCTAATTCAGCATTGTTTCCTTCATGTGTAATGTAAATATGAGCCACTTGCTCGTACAAAGCCCATCTGGCAGATAAGGCCTAGCGTGGCTTGCCTGAGTTAGGTAATCCGATAATTTAAAACGTATGTTAGACATCAGACATAATGACTTTCATATAAATTGATGGAGATTTTACCCCAAAACATAGCATAACTGATGTTAACTTTGATCACTGCTCCGTATGAAAATTGCATCACCTTGAACTTCTGTCTCATTTTTCATTAGAATTCTGATACTACCATTAAAATAAACAATCCACATACAAACCTGCAATGCTCTTTAACTATGGATATAAAATGCTCAGATTTGATAGCTTCAAATCACATTGAGTATTGGAGATATTGCTGACGTAGTAGAATATCTTTTACATGTAGAGTTAAGTGTGAAGATATTTCAAATCAATAAGACGCTATTTCTGAAAACTAGTGACGTCGGTTATACCGGATGACGTCAGTAAAATGAAAGTACGTCGGTTTAGCCGGATGTTTAAAATACGAAAACTGTTAAGAGAATGACATGGTAGAAAATCCGCTAGAGGCAATAATTTCTCATTTATTTATGTACTTAATTATGAAAAATTTACATTAGAATAGCTTTCTAAAATATATGCAAATTGGCTTTTCTCTTTACGTACTAAAGATTACAGCATGTAACAGCTTTAGACTTTACCAACTCTTTCTTTCTTCAGAAAACAATAAGTAGGTAATTTAGCTTATCCTCATCGTGAATAATGGCCTCGAAAGTACGGAAATTGAATTGTTCAGAGATTCAAGTTGCAAAACATATTATGTAAATGTTGACTAATGTATTTATTTTTAGTATTTAGTACAGGAAATTAATTTACTATTGGAAACAGTCCCAAAATCTTCATGAGAATTGGCGCAAACTTGACGATTTCGAGTAAAGCTTAATGTAGAACGTTTTACTGTTAGTTTTCAAGTATATTAGTTTTTATGATGTCAAAACTGGCGTCATTAGTGCCCGTATTGAATTCTAATTATTTGATTATTTTAAAAGTAATTTTTATTGGCTACCTAGATTGAGGCTGCTTCAGAACTGTGCCCCACTATAAAAGTGCCGGGACTTTTATGCATGTCAGCCACTGTTCGAAAGGATAAAAACCTTCATGAGTGGCCCGCTTAAAGCTGCGGGAGCCTTTATGCTGAGGGCGTCTATGCGCTCAGAATCTTTATTTGCCTTGCTAATCACAGTAGTAGACAAAACTATTGCTTGCACAAAACAGTGGGCCACCATAAAAGTGTTCTAACTTTTCCGAAGGCTGCTTTTTACAAGTTGGAAACTAGTCTTCCTGAAAGTACGGATACTTTTATGATAGGGTAGTGTTATGAAGCGTTTGTTTCGTTGATTAATCCTGGAATAACATGTAACTAAACATCGTCTTCCTTTAATACTAAGGCAATTCTTTGTTTAGAAGCATTAACTTATCTGTTTTAATATACTTTTAAAATCCGTTGTTACGTAAAAAAACTTTAGTTTTCTGTAAAATATTTACTTTTTCCTTTTCTGTGCTTGGAATTTTTGATATCTCTTTTTTCTGGAGTTGAATTTTACTTGTACCACTTCTGTATGTTACAATAAATTGAATAAAGTGATCCTGAAGATATTTTTATGTACTTTGCTGATAGATAAGAACTTAATTGTTGATTATCAAGCTTGTGTCTCTACAATAAAAACAAGTGTAAAAAAGTTACAGGTACATATTTTTGCAATGCAAAATTTCAGTGCTGACTGTTTCATCATCAATCGTGATTAAAACAATCGCGATCTTTGAACTTAAATTTGAAGTTAACTTTTTGTCCTTCTTCTAATTTTTTGCTTCATCATTAAGAAGCATTGTATTGAAGGTGTAAATAATAAACTTTTTTTGATTGCTCGAACATTTTTCTAAGTTACCTTTTTTTTCCTGAAGAGAGCGCTATGTCATACCTAAGAACGTTCTTTTGAGTGAGTCTGGAATTACTTAAGAATTATCGCTTGTTTATAACGGACCACTAATTAATTAATTTAAATAAAGTATGTTTCTCTATGTCAGTTTGTGCTTTTATTATGCATTGATATACCAGTTATGAACTGTTTGCACCTCACTTCTAATGAAAGTTTTGAAATATTAAATTATCTAAAATGATGGGCTCTACATTCTTCGGCTGTCATATAGAAAAGCATCGAATTCAATTGAAAAAACATTATTTCATCCTATATTTGCTGAGAATTTAATAATAGAAATAAACTAGCTGGTTATATGAATGGGAAAATAAAAATATAATTAGAAATTACCTCAGATTATGTCGAACGTGTGTATGAGAGTTCACTGTCGACATCCACTGCTAAAGTTTAAGCATTTAAGCTTAAAATACTTTCAAATGTCGTAAAACTGATACTTCGACAATTGGATCTGTATGCTCCCTAGACTTCTCAAGTAGAAAGAAGAAATTTTAATAATTACTACTTTTCACAACACCAATGTGAAAACCAATGAAAGTGGAATGTGCGATATAGCCTGTTCTTGTTATGGTAACCAAAATAAGAACTAAATTAAATTTTCGTGTTTCAGTTTGCAACTTTAAAATATTTACATTTATATGCATTTTTATCATTTTCATATTTTTAAACATATTTGTTATAGGAAAGTTTTGATTTTCCTCCCATATTTAGTGATATCACTTGGGTTGAAACTACGTACCAGACATATTTACGACTTAATAAAGTCTATAAAGATAATAAAATTCTGAATAGAAATAAATTTTATCTTCACTCTAAGATATGCATGCTGTTCTTTGCTTGTTAGCCTCATTCTAAATGTAGCAATGCTTCTTTTTGTATGCCTCATATTAAGTGCATTTTTCTTGCATGCTTTTCATTTTCTTTAATATAATTTCCTATTTCCTTCCTTTTTTATGCATTTCTTCTACACTTTGCCCTCTCTCCTACTGAACCTTTGCCTTTTTTCTTCACCTCTGTTTCAGTCCAATCTGACCCTTTAAACTTCTGTATCAACGACAGGCCGCACGATTGCCCCATTTTCTGGAAAAATCTAAGGTCCATCGTTGAAGAAGATGTACTCAAAAGCTTGAAACAACAAGGTATTTAGAATAAACTGTATCTCTTAGTTGGGGTGGATAAACATTTAGTGATTTATTTATTGTTAATGCTAAAACTATCTTTGGAAAGTTATGAAACATGATTTAGCCCTTTTATGATAATCTCTGTAGCCCTTTCCAAGGCTCAGTCCTTGATAAACTGTAAGGTTATGTCCAAAACGATTCTAAAGCAGTTTAGCCTAAAGCATAAGGCAAAATTCAGTTAAGACACAAGGCAGTCCACCGTAATCCATAAGGTAATGTCCGATAAAGATACAAATTTATCTAACTTAATATCCAACTAGAATATAAAGCAGACAGCATAAGATATAATGTATTATCCAAAAAAAGACATAAAGCAACGTAATATATGTGAGATGGTAATCAAACGCAAACCGTAGTTTAGTTCCGTCAAACTATGCAGCATTTATTCTAAGCTAATAATTAGACATATCCAAAATAACCATTAGGAAATTTTCCTTAATCTCGAAAGCAATCACGTCTTCTAGCTGTATAATTCTTAACAAATAAACCATTAGATTCTTTCCAATGTCCTACGGTATAAAATCCAACTAGGATGTAAGGCAGTCCTGCATAATCAGTAAGGTTATGTCTGATGAAGACATAAAACAATAAAGTTTAGCTATATTAGTGGCTCTACAAAGACGTAAAATAAACCACCATAAGACATAAGGTATTTTCCGAAAAGGGCATAAGCAATCCTATATATGCAAACCATACGATAATACCTGAAGATAACATAAAGCAATTTTGTGTAAACCATAAGGAAGGGTTTGAAGGATATAATTCAGTTCCATCAAACAGTGTGCTGTTTTTTCTAAACTAACCTATATACAATGGAATTCACAGGGAATTTAAAATCAACTAGAATCTTTACGGGCTCAGATAGAGGGAAAACTCATACTAAAAAGAGATCGTCAGATCTTCTTCTGGTATGATAAAAATAGGGAAACATTTAAAAATTCTAAATTGCGGGAGACATACGCGTCTTGAGTTGCGTCGCACCCATAAGATAGGAAACTGTCAAATCTCATGACTTCTTGATTCAGAGATTAAGTAGTGAAATTAATTAAATGTTCCATATTTAGAAGCTAAATCATGCTGAATACATGTTACAGGCTTGAATTCACTTATTTTGCATATTTTGTAACATCAATACCCTCACAAAGCAAATGAAAGTAAAACAAAATTATCAAAACTGTTGGTTAAAGCTTTACTAATAAAATAACTTAATTCATTTTATATTCGTAAACGCTGTGAAATTTTTCTTTGAATTTAAGTAAAGAACAAATTAAAATTAAAATTTTAATTTAAAATTAAAATGTAATTTTTGATCAGTTAAATTTGACTGCTACACTACGGTCCATAGTATAAATGAACACCTTTCGCACTTCAAAATATATAAACGAACAATGAGTTACCCTTGTCTTTCGCTGTAAATCTGGGGGCGGAAGAGGATGTTTTTAAACAAAATAACAGAACTTTAAAAATATTGCTTGTAACGTTGTGCAGTCATTAGGTTATTTTAAGCAGGAAATATGAAAAATGAGCAGTGCTCTGGCTGGGACTCGAACCTGGACCTCTTGAATGCGCTCCCAGTGTGCTACCGTTACACCACGAAGGCATGCAGAACGGAAGGACAAAATACCTTATGTTAAAGAGCGACTGGAGATTAGAAGACCCAGTCGCTAAACCCTAGTGGTGAAGAATTATCATCCACCACCTTTTAGTTCGGGAGCCACTGTAAAGTCATTAGGGTATTTTGAAGCAGGAGTACATGAAAAATGAGGAATGCTCTCGCTGGGACTCGAACCTGAACATCTCGAATACGCACCGAGTGTGCCACCGTCACCACGAAGGCGTGCTGAAGGGTGGGAGAAAATACAATGAAGCTATGCAATGAACAGTCACGTAACGACCGTGGTTCTGAAACTACCATCTCTGATAGTGGCCCGCGTTTATGACTATATAAACAAATATCGATACTGAACACCACTTCTCTAAGTCGAACATTTCCATAAAAAATCAAAATCATGTGAAAAAGGTTGGCCTTACAAAATATTAGTAGTAGTACAAAGCTGAGATAACAATGAAAACGATGAAAAACACACGCGCATAAAACAGAAAAACTCAACAATTATCGAAGTAATACCAGCGACGATGTCTATGGTTAACTTTTTGGTATATAAGGTATATCTTCCGCCTTCTTAGCATGCTTTCGTAGTGTAGTGGTCTGCATGCTGGGCGCGTATTCCAGAGGTTCGTGGTTCGATTCCCGGCGAAGGCGTTGTCCATTTCTCATGTGTCCTTCTTCCAAAAAATACCTAATGTCTCTACAAAATCTAGATTAAACGAAGAGCAATAAAAAAACACAGCAAAGTGTAATTTTAAAAAATGCTAGTAGCAATTTACCTTTTATTTTCTTGAAGTGAAACGTAAATTAAACCAGTGCTCGGGGGGGAAAAATACTGTCAAAAACCAGACGTATAAGCGCCATTAGAAATGAAGAAACTAAGTTATAAATGATTACAGCGTCATCTGCTATCATTCTTGTTATTCCACACACTTTTGCTTTCCCTTTTATATTTTTCTTAGACAGTTTTGTATTACGCTGTTGACTTGGGATATAAAACAGGGCCTGGTTAATAAGCAACTGGGTTAATTTAGAGTTGGCTGTGTTCCAGAAGAAAAATGTCAAGAAATATAGCCAAATGTGTTCTGAAAAAGAAAAAAGAGGTGAAGGTTTTTTTTTTTTTTTTTTTTTTTTTCCAAAATTCCAAATTGTTTGTTAAAAGACATTTACCTAACTAAAGACTGTCTGTTACAAAGACTGTAAAATCTTCAAAATGCTGAATCACGCAAAAGCAAGGCTGTGTTGGGAAAAGGGAGGCACAAAATTCCAACAGCTGACTTTTTCCTTGGTATTTCTTTCTAAATATAAATTTGCGGCAGTGAAAGAAGTTAATCTTTCGTCTACATTGAGCGATGTGAGCAATTTCTGTGTATCTGATATACGTTTTCAAGTTTATTTATTAAATGTACACATAATTTTTTCGTTCTCTTTCCAGTTATTTGTTACTCTGAATCACCGTGTAAACACACTAAAAATTACTTTGTGTTTGCAGTCTCTATTTGAGATATGTGACTGTTGATTTTTAGCCCTAATGTAAAATAAATTCTTTTTTTGAAGTGATTTCATTTCCTGTAAATTGGTGCAGTAAATTTTCCTGTCTTCGCTTAATAGAAAATTTTCGTAATTCAAAGTTTATTCATAGTGGTTTAGAAACATAGAAAACTTTGTAAGTCAATCACTTATATCTTCTTTTTTTTTAGCCCATAGGGACAATTTGCCCAGAAAGGCTATTAATTTCGTTTTGACGTTTTGCGTTGGTTCACTATAAACGGCGTTTTACTTTTCGAATTGTTGCCATTAAATATTAGGAACCTGTATTATATTTAAAGAAATTAAATAATTGAGAATATGCATGAATGTATATTTCTCGCACTGTGAAGAAAACAACGGTACCTAGCGACATTAAATTTTGAATAACGTAGTTCTCCACTCAAATATGGCATCTTGAAGCCCAAATTTGGAATTTGGAATTTGGAATCTGGAATTATCTATTTCACATTTTGTAAACCTTTAATGAATTTTTGAACAAACTCAGCGATACAAAGCGAACAATATCAAACATTGTACGAAAGAAAAAACATTTTTATCTCCAACCCGCGCGACTGTATCGTAAGTTCTAAAGATATGCTTTTGTAAAATTATTTTGCGATATTTCTGTTGAATCGAAGTTTATGTTTCAAGAACGAAGAACATAATATTTAATAAGTAAAGATAATGCATGAAACCTTAAAAAGACGCTCATTTAGGCGTAATATAAAATCATTGCAGAATGTAGATCTGTGCACTGTTGGATAGAGGGAAAAGCGAATATTCATATTTATGTATACTTTTCATGTGAATTTGATTATGTTAAAAAGTTTAATCGTTCAGTATCTATGAGCAATAGGAAGTATACCCTTATAAGCAACTAAAAAACAAATATTGCAGTTTAGAGTATACCACTTTTGTAATATACTACATAAATCCAGATTAACGAAATTGAACTCTTTTTGGAGGGCATCTTTGAATGAACACTTTCCCCGCTTCGATGTTCTGAATTTGTCTACAAATCAATATGCTACAGTTTGTTTTCAATGAATAATGTGCTACAGTTAGTTTGATTTTGAGTTTATAGCAACAAAATAATCGGCTAAAATTTGTCGCGTTTTATGTTTATGTGCTGAAAGTAATGTGTTACAATTTATGATGTTTTGAATTTATAACCGCAAAAAATAGATTACAATATGCAACGTTTCGGATGTATAGCTTAGAAACAATGTATCACACTTTGTGGCTTTTTCAGTTTGTGGCTGTAGTGACTAGCGGCCGAGTGATGCGGCCAATTGCAATCAAAAAGGGAGATACACATCTACATGTTATAGCAGTCCCACATACAAAATTTCAACGTTCTGAGGCTAATCGTTTTTGAGTTATGCGGGATACATACCTACATACGTATATACCTACATTCGTACGTACGTACAGACGCCACAAAAAATCTCTTCTGAATCCATTTTAAATCAGTTTTATAATTCGTTTTGGGGAAGAGTCCTTTATTCTGTCCTTACGTACAAAACATCGTTAAATTGCATTCGATAGCGATCAAAATGGATATTTTCGTTAAAATATGGTACCCGGAATTTTTGTGATTACAATGCATCCTTTACTTCATACAAGGAAGTAAAAACGAAACGCGTAGAATTTGTATTGATGATACCACTTAGGGTTCTAAGGTTTCTGTTTTCAGCAGCTGTTCGATTACAGTGTTTTTAAACGTTTATGTATGAAAAACAACAACAACAGCAAAATGTATGAAAACTTTTATTAGTAAAAAACAGACCCATATGTCAAATAGCTTTGAATAAAAGTA